ACCGTACCTTCACCTTCCCTCTCGACTCTCTACCCCTCCTCGCTCCCTCCTTTCCCTCCCCTCACCCTGACCATTTCCCCCCTCCTCACTCCCTCCCTTCCCTCCCCTCACCCTGACCATTTCCCCCCCAATGCTCGTGTCCCGACCCAACTGTGCAGCGCCTTGGGACGTCCTCCCGACGTGAAAGACGCTCTATAAATGCAATCTTGCTGTTGTTGTTGTTGTAAACCCTGGTTCTAATTTAAAGATGATTCACTGCCACATTGTCAAAGCTGATGTTCTTGCCCAGGGATGGATTTGTGGTCAAACACAGCAGCCAATATCCCACAGCAAAATTGAACAAACAGCTGTGTTTGTGTAGATGATTCTATCTGAGGAATTGTTGGCCGGGTCCCCGGGAGAGAAAAAAACTCCCTTCTCATTTTGAATACAGCTGTTTTCTGATTGCTCGCTAAAGTGGTTTGGCTTTGATTTTCAGGCCTTGCAGTTGATAATAGTCCTGGCATCTGATGCAGCGCCTTATCAAGTCTTCGACGCTTCGCAGAATACACTGTAAAGTGGATGTTGTTGTTGTTGTTGTTGATTGCCTGTATTTTGTTGACGAAACACGGCAGCCAGTTGCACACAGCAGGGTACCACAAACAGTCGTGGGTTGAGTGATCAAATTATTATATTTTAAAGATAATTTGGAAGGAATTATTACCCCCGGAAAAGCATTCCGGGGTTTCAATCGAATGCCTGATAATCGACTTCCCTGCTCAGTCGACTATTAACCGGGTTCTTACCTACTGCTGGTAAACAGTAAGGAAACTTGCCCAACATTTCGCCCTGCCCAGGAATCGAACCCAGGTCCTCGCGCTCGTGAGGCTCTCGCCACTGAGCTACAGGACTCTATCAGATCTCGGCGAGCCTGTCACCCCAGTCCTTGTCTGGCTCCACCGGCTCCCCAGGGGATAGAGTTCAAGATCCTCGTCCTTGCCATTAAAGCCCACCACAGTCTTGCCCCCACCTGACCTCTGCGATCTCCTCACCAAACCCCCTACTCCCTCCGGCCTGTGTCACATCCCCTCGACCCACTATTTCAGCCTTTCGGCCCCACCCTCTGACTCCCTCCCTCCCTTCCCTGTTCAAGGTCTGTCTCGACTTATCTCTTTGACCGCACTTTTGGTCATTTGTACCCTTCCCGCCCACTCGGCTCCCAGACTGTGAAGTGCCTGGAGGTGTCCTGTGGCATATGTGGAACCCTGTAGCGTGGCATAGCACAGAGCACTCACCTCACAAGCGAGAGGACCTGGGTTTGATTCCTGGGCAGGGCAACAACAGCAACTTGCACCTATATAGCGCCCTCTACGCAGGGTGGCGTTTCAGCGCCTGACTGAGCCTGGCTCCGAGCCATGGGGTGGTGGGGGAGAGGTGACCGTAAGCACAGTCGAACAGGGAAGTCTTCAGTCGGGACTTGAAAGAGGGGAGAGAGAGGGCAAGGTGGAGGGATTGAGTGAGAGTGTTCCAGAGTTTTGGAGAGCTGTGGCTGAAAGCACAACCTCCGATGGTGGGGCGGAGGGTGTGAGGGACGAGCAGGAGGCTGGTGCCAGTCGAGGGGAGGCGCTGGGTGGTGGATTGGGGAGTGAGGAGGTCGGAGAGGTCGGGAGGTGCCAGAGAGCGAATGGATTAACCAAGGGTTTTGAACTCAATCCCCAGGGGGGGGAGCCTGGCGAGTGTGGGGGTGACACAGACTCACAGAAATCTTAAACCAGAGCAAAACAACTTCAGCAAGAGATCAGAAACCATAGCTCTACCGGAAAAGAGAAAAAGAGTTTTTCTCTCTCCCGATGTCACGGCTGACAATCCCCACAGCAACTTCCGTGCCCAACATGGGGGACGGAGAGGGTGGCCGATGTCCTCCTGATGTGCAAGTTGCTGTGTAAATGTAGATTGCGTTGCTCTGGATTCCTTGACCAGAGGAGAACTCTTCTCTGGATCTCCCTCTTCAAATCCCTTTAAGTCCCCTTAAATCCCTTTAAAAATCCCGTTTTAGTCACCTCAACCCGATCGTATCCCGGCCTCCACTGCTCAAGGAAATAGTCAATAACCTTACGTCCCAAAGCGCTTCACAGGATTCGCTGCAAAGTATAGTGACTGCGGGTTTGTTAGGCGAGAGAGGCGGTCATTTGCGCACGGTGACAACCTCGCAAACAGCCGGGAAGTGAGCGAGCGATTTTATCTGGGGGATTGTCGGCCAGGACGCTGGGAGAGCACGAGAGAGAGAGAGGGAGAGGGGGGGAAACTCCCAGCTCTGTTCCCGACAGCGTTCCGGGATCTTTAACATCCACTTGAACAGAGACAGACGGGGAGAGAGGTTTGACGTCTCATCTGATGGACGGAATCTCTGACATTGCGTCAGAGATGCCTCAGAGATCTCTCTCTCTCGCTCTCTCTCTCGCTCTCTCTCTCGCCCCCCAGCGCTGCGTTAGAGCGTCAGCCTGAATTGGGATGTGACGTGAGCTGCAGTTGCTCTCCCTCCCATCCTCCCTCCATCCCTTCCTCCTCCCATCCATCCTCCCTCCCTCCCTCCCTCCCTCCCTCACTGTCTCACACACTCTCCCACACTCACACTCTCAGTGTACACGAAAGTTCAAAGCCAAACAGATCTGGGAGTTCGGATCCCTGGAAATGGAGAGCTATGGCTGGTAATCCCCACATTCCTGACTCAGGCTGTAGGCGAGACTGGCAGTGGTCCAGGATATATGTTCTTCACTAGGAACAGTGATTGTGGCAGCTCAACCATTAAACTGTACCAGATGCCTCAGGTTCTCATCTCTTTATAACAATAATAATCCTTGTATTTCATGTAGCCCCATATCACGTCATTGAGATGCCTCAAAGCGCTTCACAGGATACACTGTAACCTGAATTGACGGTAATTTTTAGGGGCGAAACGCGGCAGACGATTGCGCGCAGCAGCGTCCCACACAGGGTCAACAACAACTTGCATTTATATAGCCTCCCGGAGCGCTTGACAGTGGGGGAGTCTGACCCCGAGCCGGGGGGAGACGGGGTGGGGGAAGGTCTTTAGTCGTGGATTGAGTGACCACATTTTTTTTAGAGGGATTATTAATCCCAGAAATCCATCCACCAATCGACCAAGAACCGATCCCTCTAATTGGAGTAAGGAAACTTGCCCAACGTTTGGCCCCCTGCCCCGGGGATCGAACCCAGGTCCTCTCGCTTGCGAGGCCAGTCCTCTCACCACTCAGCTGCAGGACTTCACCATATTATAAAGAAATTGTGCATTTTTTTTGTGGGGGGAAATAATTATGAAGGAATCATTACTAAGGAATTACTAAGAAACATTGCAAGTTAGACCTCAGGTTGACTGGAGATGTCCTCCTGACATAAAAACCGCTCCATCAAAAGCAAATATCTTCGCTCTTTCTATCAGTCTCTATCCCTTCGTCTCACCCCCTCTCTCGCTCTCTTTACCCCTCCTTCTCAATTCCCCTCACTATAACTCTCTACCCCTCCATCTTGCCCTCTCTCTCTATCAGTCTCTACCCCTCCGTCTCGCCCTTTCTCTTTCTGTCAGTCCCTCTCCCTCCCTCTCTATCAGTCTCTCCCCCGTCTCACCGTCTCACCCTGAATTATTTCCTCTCATGGGGGGAGATCCAGAACAAAAGGGGGCATCATCTTAATATTAGAGCCGGGCCGTTTAGGAGTGAAATCAGGAGGCAGTTTTTTACCCAAAGGTTAGTGGAAATCTGGAACTCTCTCCCCCAAAAGGCTGTGGATTATGGTTGGATCCATTCACATTGTCCAGACTGAGATGAGAGCTATTTATTAGGTCAGGGTATTAAGGGATACAGGGCAAGGGAGGGTAATTGACCTTGAGGTACCGATCAGCCATGATCTTATAGAATGGTTGAACAGGCTCGGGGGGCTGAATGGCCTACTCTTTTTTTCTATCTTTCTATGTTTCTGTCAGTCTCTCCCTCCATCTCACTCCCCTCGCTTGACGGAGGTGCCGTCCTTGTGATACGATGTTAAACCTCACTCCCTGTCTGTGTCCCGTTCAGGCGGACGTTAAAGATCCCGTGGCTCTGTTGGGAAAAGAGAAGGGAGTTTCTCTCTCTCTCTCTCTCCCGGTGTCATGGCAGACAATTGCCCAGATAAAATTGGTCGCTCACTTCACAGCTGTTTGTGGGACGTTGGTGTGTGTGAATTGGCTGCTGCATTCACCTACAAAACACATAGTGACTACACTTTACAGTAAACCCTGGAGTCTTTCGGTATATTTGGAGTCCTGCAGCTCAGTGGTTAGAGCGCTCGTCTTGCAAGCAAGAGGACCTGGGTATGATTCCCGGGCAGGGCGAAACCTTAGGCAAGTTTCTTTACTCCGCACGCACACACCTCTGTTTCCCTAGCAGTAAATCAGAACCTGTTAGTCAATTACCAAATCGTTTTCAAAGGGATAGTAATCCCTAAAATAATATGGTCACTCAATCCGCGACTGTTTGTGGGACACTGCTGTGTGCGATTGGCTGCCGCGTTCCGCCCACAAAATACACAGTCAATTCACTTTACTCCGCATTTCGTGATGCGCTTTGAGACGTCTCGAGACGTGATAAGGCTTCTGCATCAAATGCAAGGACTATTCTTGTGATTATTGGAGGCAAGTTGCTGTTGTTGCTGCTGCTTATCCAGACAGAACTCGCAGGGTTAACAGAAGCCGAGTGGGAATCGTGGCTTGTGTTTTTTCCAGGGAATTGCATCTGAGGTCAGGATTCTGGAAGTGGAGCCATTGTGCAGGTTTATTGGTGTTCAGTTACAGTGTGAGTGTGTGAATGTTGATGGGGGGTGTGGAGAGCCTCACACCGCGGTGTGGGCAGGAAGCCAGAGTAAATAACTGTAACATGTCAAGGCTGGAACATAGATTGTCAAATTACCGGACAATCAGTAAAAGCGAAAGTCCCCTCAGATCAGAGTATAAATAGAGGCAGCTGGGAGCCAGTTTGATAGCAGAACACAGCAGCTCCTGAACACAGCAGCTCCTCACTCGTTCCATCAGCTCCTCACTCGTTCCATCAGCATGATGAAGACTCTGATTTTCTCTCTCCTGGTGCTTATCGCAGGCGTTCTTTGGGACCAGACTCAAGGTGATGACTCTCTCACTGTGTATGTGTGTGTGTGTGTGTGTGACTGTGCATGTCTCTCGCTCTGTGTGTGTGTGTGTTTGTATGTGTGTGTCTCAATCTTGACTCTCCTGTCTATTTTACAGTTTACAGAACACCAGCGCAGACACGATGGGGAGAGAGCGGGGAATGGGGTTAGAGAGCTCCAGTGGGGGAGCGAGCACCAGCGCAGACACGATGGGGAGAGAGCGGGGAATGGGGTTAGAGAGCTCCAGTGGGGGAGCGAGCACCAGCACAGACACGATGGGGAGAGAGCGGGGAATGGGGTTAGAGTAGAGAGCTCCAGTGGGGGAGCGAGCACCAGTGTTGGGCAACTCTTGAGCTAAAGCGATCTATGGTTTGTGTTGGGATGTGCTCCCAATGTGACAGGCGCTATACAAGTGTCATTTATTGTTGTTCTTGTTGTTGTTGTTGTTGCAGCCAGTGGTAATGATGACCTGATTGACTGCTGCCTGGCCACAAGTGCTAACAAAATCCCCTTTCACAACATAATGGACTACAGCATTCAGCAGCAAATAAATGGCTGCAAAATCAATGCCGTCGTGTAAGTATTGCATGGAATGAGCTGCCGCATTTCACTTAGAAAATACACAGTCACTCCACTTTACAGCATGTCCTGCGAAGCGTTTTGGGACGCCTTGACTACATGTCCAACAAACAGTCGTGGATTGAATGATCACATTTCTTGGGGTGGGGGAGAGGGATTATTACCCCCGGAAAGCGATCGGCCAATCGATTAACAACCGGGTTCCTACTCACTGTTGGGCGAACAGTGGCGTGTGGAGTAAGGAAACTTGCCTAAGGTTATAATATAATAATAATAATAAAATAATAATATTATTAAGGTTTCGCCCTGCCCGGGAATCGAACCCGGGTCCTCTTGCTTGCGAGGCTAATCATTACGCTATGGGACTCCATGTTTAAGCGGCCAGTGTCTGAGTCTTGCTCCCAGCTCTGCTGACCATGATTACTAATCTCCCAATAGGTTCATCACCATGAAGATGAGAAAGCTTTGCGCAACACCAAATCTCAAGTGGGTAAAAAAGTACATCAGGAAACTGAAGAGGTCGAAAAATAACAGGTAAGAGATGGTTCTCTCCTCTCCTCGCCTCTCCTCGCCTCTCCTCGCCTCTCCTCGCCTCTCCTCGCGCTCACCCATCTCCGGGGGTTGGGAGAGGGGGAATGGGAGGAGGAGAAGGGGGAGGATGGGGTGAAGCGAAGCAGGGAGGGGAGGAAGGGAGGAAGGGAGAGGGGAAGTGGGGGTAAGGGAGCGAAGGGGATAGGGAAGTTGATTAAGGGAGTGGGTAAGAGGTATGAGGGAGGAAGGGAGAGGGGAAGAGGGAGAAAGGGAGAGGGGGAGAGGGGAAATGGGATCACGTCATGGAGGGAAATACTGCTGGGGGCAGGTGTGTTCTGGTGAACAACCCTCTCGTGTTATTATTTATTGGAGGATATTGCTGGCGGAGGACTGGGTGGGGGGGGGGTGGGGGTTGAGACGGGGGCAAGCTCACGGCGCGTCTAACAGTCGCCATTTTCTTTCACCAGCAAAAACAGACGCCAAGGCAACAGCAACGGCACCGGCACCGGCAACTAGTGATCTTCAACCTCTGACTCCCCACCACGTGTATGTGTGTGTGTGACTGAGTTCCTCCCGAAGTGAAAGGCGCTATGCAAATGTAATCTCGTTGTTGTTGTTGTTGTTGTTGTTGAGTAATCCCAAATGTGAATGGAGATGCTATGGGTGGGGGGAAGAGGGTGAAATGAGGTGATGGGGGGGGGGGGGGGGGGGAGCGGGGAGGAACGAGGGGGAGAAAACAGACAGCTGATCGCTGCTCTGCTCTGTACTAATCCTGCAATCACCTTCCCGAGGGGAATGGTTTTATGATATAATGATAGCAATACTAATCCTGGCATTAGATACAGCGGCTTATCATGTCTTCCAGTTGCCTCAAAGTGCTTCACACTATACTATAAAGTGGAGTTACTGTATGTTTTTATGTGCGAAATTTGCACCTTTCCTAAACGGGGTTTCTTCGTCAAGAGAATCAGGGAATGTTGTCAGGCTCGATCGGGGTGGCTGCTGGGGTGGGGGGTGGGTGTCGGGGAGGGAGGGTAGGAGGTGGGGGACCGGGGCGGTGGTGGTGGTGCGGGAGGGGGGGGGGGGGCGGGTGTGTGGGAGACGGGGGAGAAAATCGTATTGGGTCCGCAAGGAATTGTGTCGCTCGGAGCCTCGTGTTTCTTGGTTAACAAATCCCGTTTGGGAATCATCTTGTTTTAAACCCTCCCCCTCTCAACCTCTTCCCTTCCCCCCCCCACACAAGCAGCCGCTCCGCACAGCCCTCCCGCAATGTGAACACTACGTTAAACTTTTCCCATTATGTGTGAATGCTCGCTCGTTGCGTGTCAATGGAACCCGTCACGCACCGACACGGAATGCCACGTGTGATTTTGTATGTCGTGACGTGAGAGTGCCTTTTTTTTCCCCATCCCTGACGTAAAATGTGTTGTTTGTTTTTTTTGTTGATAAAATGTGAATAAAAACTATTCTCTTTAATTAAATCTCTTTGGCTCGTCTCTCATTCCGTGGGCATTCATTCCCCCTCCACCCCACCCCACCCCACCCCACTTCATACCTCACCTGGCGGGGGAGAGAGAGAGATGCTTTTGGAGGATGTCTCAAAGCTCTTTGCAGCGTTTAATGTAAAGTGTAGTGACTGTAAGCGAACCCAGCAGCCAATATGCACACAGCAACGTCCCACAAACAGCCATGAAGCCACGACTGGTTTTATCTGGGGGATTGTCGGCCAGGACACCGGGCGAGAGAGAGAGAGAGAGAGAGAGAAACTCCTTTCTATTTTCCCAATCGTGTCACAGGATCTTTAATGTCCATCTGAACAGGACACAGATGAGGAGTGAGGTTTAATGTCTAGAGCGGTGTGGGAGAGGGGGATAGAGGGGTGTGGGAGAGGGGGATAGAGGGGTGTGGGAGAGGGGGATAGAGGGGTGTGGGAGAGGGGGATAGAGGGGTGTGGGAGAGGGGGATAGAGGGGTGTGGGAGAGGGGGATAGAGGGGTGTGGGAGAGGGGAATAGAGGAGTGTAGGAGAAGGGGATAGAGGGGTGTGGGAGAGGGGGATAGAGGGGTGTGGGAGAGGGGGATAGAAGGGTGTGGGAGAGGGGTAGAGAGGGGTGTGGGAGAGGGGAATAGAGGAGTGTAGGAGAGGGGAATAGAGGGGTGTAGGAGAGGGGAATAGAGGAGTGTAGGAGAGGGGAATAGAGGAGTGTAGGAGAGGGGGATAGAGGGGTGTAGGAGAGGGGATAGAGGAGTGTAGGAGAGGGGAATAGAGGAGTGTGGGAGAGGGGGATAGAGGAGTGTGGGAGAGGGGGATAGAGGGGTGTGGGAGAGGGGGATAGAGGGGTGTGGGAGAGGGGGATAGAGGGGTGTGGGAGAGGGGGATAGAGGAGTGTGGGAGAGGGGAATAGAGGAGTGTGGGAGAGGGGGATAGAGGGGTGTAGGAGAGGGGGATAGAGGGGTGTAGGAGAGGGGAATAGAGGAGTGTAGGAGAGGGGGATAGAGGGGTGCGGGAGAGGGGGATAGAGGGGGTGCGGGAGAGGGGGATAGAGGGGTGCGGGAGAGGGGGATAGAGGGGTGCGGGAGAGGGGGATAGAGGGGTGCGGGAGAGGGGGATAGAGGGGTGTGGGAGAGGGGGATAGAGGGGTGTGGGAGAGGGGGATAGAGGGGTGTGGGAGAGGGGGATAGAGGGGTGTGGGAGAGGGGGATAGAGGGGTGTGGGAGAGGGGGATAGAGGGGTGTGGGAGAGGGGGATAGAGGGGTGTGGGAGAGGGGAATAGATAGAGTGCATTGTCAGAGGTGCCGTCCTGTTCAGGTGGATGTTAAAGATTCCGTGTCACTATTCGAAAGAGAAGGGAGTTCCTCTCTCCCGGAATCCAGGCTGACAACCCCCCCAATAAAATTAGTCACTCACTCCGCGGCTGATTATGGGAGGTCGCTGTGCGCAAATTGGCTGCTGCATTCGCTAAAAAATACACAGTCACTACACTTTACAGTACACTTTGAGACGTCATCTCGACGTGATGATGTAAATAGCAAATGCAAGCATCATTACTACTATTATTATGTTATTGTATGTTCTGTGTGTGATCAACCATTTTCTTATAGAATGGCGGAACAGGCTCGAGGGGCTGAATGGCCTCCCCCTGTTCCTATGTTCCTATTACAGTTTAAATCACTGTGTAAAGGTAGTTTCTAAGTGTTTTCAGTGCTGGACAGTCAGAGCAACAACACTGCCACGTGACATAGGAATAGATGTGACTTTTCTTAGTAAGTCTGAGATTCCTGAAACAACGATGGTTTGCAGGAGGTCGATATTTTGTGCACCAGATACGTTGTCAGGCAATTTCTGAACAGTCTTATTAACGATCACAGTTACACTGATGATTATAGGTGCTATGTTTGTTTTACATCGCCACATACGTCTGCATTCAATTTATAGATCAATATATTTCCTGATTTTCTCCAGTTCCTTATTTATTATGATATAATCACTTGGGATAATAGCCACATCAACACTATTACAAGTAATAATAATAATCCTTGCACTTGATATAGTGCCTTATCACATTGTCAATAATACGACGTGTACAATCCATTTGGTTATTATTAATAAGTGTAGTGACTGTATATTTGAGGGCGAAACACAACAGTAAACTGCGTACAGCAGTGTTCCACAAACAGTTGTGGACTGAGTGACCAAATATTTTTGGGGAGGGATTATTACCCTGTAAAGCGATCCACCAATCGACTAACAACTGGGTTCCTACTTACTGCTGGTAAACAGAGGCGTGTGGAGTAAGGAAACTTGCCTAAGGTTTCGCCCCGGGTCCTCTTTGCTTGCAAGGCGAGTGCTCTAACCACTGAGCTACAGGACTCCACCATATTATTGTTATTGTGTGTGACTCTGTGTAAAAAAGGGATGTGGGGAGAGAGTTGGGAAGTGAATGGAACCCACAGCCCATGACTCTGACTGGGAGGCCAGAGAACAAGTGTGTGACCCACAGACACAGACAGTAACCACAGGCCCTTTGCCGGATTAACCACAGCCACTGCGTGGGTTAATGTTTAATCTGTGGTCAGTCCGGTCTCACTTCAATTCACACAATAATCCTTTTATTTGATTAAGCGCTTTGTCGAGACGTCTCAAAGTGCTTCATAGAATATACTATAAAGTGTAGTGACACTTTGTATTTTGTGGGCGAAACGCAGCAACCAATTACCCACATCAGTGTCCCCACAAACAGTCGTGGTTTGAGTGACTCGATTTTTTTTTGAAGTGATTATTACCCCCGGAAAGCGATCCGCCAATCGACTAACAACAAAGGTTCCTACTTACTGTTAGAGGAGTAAGGAAATTTACCGAAGGTTTTGCCCTGTCCGGGAATCAAACAACAATAAATTACATTTGTATAGTGCTTTTGAGGTCAGGAATGTGGACCCGAGCTGGGGGTTGGGATCAGGAGGGGTGGAGGGCAGGGAGGGTGGGGGTAGGAGGGTGACCAAAGGTGGGGTGGTAGAGGAGGATCTTGTGATGGGTTTTGAAGGAGGCACGGGAGGGGGTGAAGAGGAAGGATGTTGGATGGGGGACCTCTGGCTTGTGATGCGAGCGCTCGAACCACTACACTACAAGACTCATTTTCATGCCCTGTGTTTAACTGCTCCTCCAAGATAATGGGAATGTGACCAAACCAGCCATGGGGAATGTCAGAGATTATTTGTGACATGAGGGTAGCTCAGAAAGTCCCGGGGAAAAGCCCCGAGGAGGATGTGAAATAGAAACTGTCAATAGTTGAGTAAGGACATTATTGTCAAATCTGACTTTCGCATAGACTCATGGACGCTTACAGCCAGGCCATTTGGGCCTTCACCTCTGAGTCTCTGCCCCTCACCCCTTCTGTACCCCTCTATTCCCCTCTCCCACATCCCTCTATTCCTCTCTCCCACACCCCTCTATTCCCCTCTCCCACATCCCTCTATTCCCCTCTCCCACACTCCTCTATTCCCCTCTCCCACACCCCTCTCTTCCCTCAGCCAGGCTGAGATTATCACATCCTTCATCACTGAAATACTGAACAAGTGTAGTGACTGTGATCTTTCAACCTATTACTGACCAAGGAATATAAAGAATAACAGGTTCTGTGTCTATTGTTCAGTAAGATATTCACGGGCTTTATCTTTATTGAAGCTAATATTAATAATAATAATCTTTGCATTTGATACAGCGCCTTATCATTGTTGAGACGTCTCAAAGCACTTCACAGAATACATTGTAAAGTGAATTGGCTGTATATTTTGTGGGTGAAACACAGCAGCCAATTGTACACAGCAGTGTCCCACAAACAGTCATGGATTGAGTGATCAATGTTTTTTTAAGGGGTTATTAACCTAGAAAGCGATCAGCTAATCAACTGACAAGCGGGTTCCAACTTACTGCTAAGTAAACAGAGGCGTGTGGAGCAAGGAAACTTGGCTGAGATTTCACTCTGCGAGTCCTCTCGCTTGTGAGGCGAGCGCTCTAACCATTGAGCTACAGGACTCCGCACTGAGCTCTGAGAATATGGGCTCCCGTGATGAGGGCTTACACTGGTGCTCGCTGGTCACGGTGATGGGTTTGTGTGTGTCAGACACCCGGCTGGTCACGGTGATGGGTTTGTGTGTGTGACAGACACCCGGCTGGTCACGGTGATGGGTTTGTGTGTGTGTCAGACACCCGGCTGGTCACGGTGATGGGTTTGTGTGTGTGACAGACACCCGGCTGGTCACGGTGATGGGTTTGTGTGTGTGACAGACACCCGGCTGGTCACGGTGATGGGTTTGTGTGTGTGACAGACACCCGGCTGGTCACGGTGATGGGTTTGTGTGTGTGACAGACACCCGGCTGGTCACGGTGATGGGCTTGTGTGTGTGTCAGACACCCGGCTGGTCACGGTGATGGGTTTGTGTGTGTGTCAGACACCCGGCTGGTCACGGGGATGGTTTGTGTGTGTGACAGACACCCGACTGGTCACGGTGATGGGTTTGTGTGTGTGTCAGACACCCGGCTGGTCACGGTGATGGGTTTGTGTGTGTGTCAGACACCCGGCTGGTCACGGTGATGGGTTTGTGTGTGTGTCAGACACCCGGCTGGTCACGGTGACGGGTTTGTGTGTGTGACAGACACCCGGCTGGTCACGGTGATGGGTTTGTGTGTGTGACAGACACCCGGCTGGTCACGGTGATGGTTTGTGTGTGTGTCAGACACCCGGCTGGTCACGGTGACGGGTTTGTGTGTGTGACAGACACCCGGCTGGTCACGGTGATGGGTTACCTTGAGTGTCAGACAAAATAAAAGAGAGAAACGACTTTTTAAGCTGACATTTTTGCACATTGTTGGTTCGAGTTAAATATGGGTGGAAAGTGGGGTTTGGCAGAGATCGGGTGGAATTTGAAGCCTGTGTTCCCTCTGCACACTGTCTATGGTATTGGCTTCACAGCAGAGAGAGAAGGGGGGGAAATAGCAGCACTAAAGACTGAAACTTGAGTTCCTGGCAGAGTAACACACTCTACTCGGGCAGGAATGCCCCTGTGATAACAATACTCAATCATTAGTTATTCATTCTGTGTTTCGCAATTCAGGAGAAATCCCTTCTCAGTCAGGACATTAAATGTTTATCAATATCCTGAAACTCACTCTCAATTTCCCCATTGGATTGTATTTGACATCTGTTCACACTTCCGTTTATTGCCCGTGACTGATTATTCCACGTATGTAAATCTACATTCTCCACAGGTCACATGCATGAGGGTTTCGGCTGCATTTGGGGTGAGGTAGAGTCGAGGGCGGGCAAGTAAATAATAATCCCTCCAAAAAAAATTTGGTTGCTCAATCCATGACTGTTTGTGCGACACTGCTGTGTGCAAATGGCTGCCGCGTTTCGTCCACAAAATATAGAGTCACTACACTTTACGGTATACCCTATGAAGCACTTTGAGACGTCTCGAAGACGTGATAAGGCTCTGTATCAAATGCAAGGATTATTATTATTAAGTTGCATCACACAGTTGACTGTGGAAAGTGAATGTTTAAGGAGGGAGGTGGTCAATCTGCCAATTGACTAACAACTGGGTTCCGACTCACTGCTGGTAAATAGATGCGTGTGGAGTAAGGAAACTTGTCTAAGGTTTCGCCCCAAACTGGGAATCGAACCCAGGTCCTCTCGCTTGCGAGGCGAGGGCTCTAACACTGAGCTACAGGACTCCATGAGTCCCTAACGCGCTGGACAATGAAGGGTTTGGATCTGCGCTGGGGGTTGGGATCAGGAAGGGTAAAGGGCAAGGGAGGGGCGGGGGGTGGAGGAGGGAAGAAGAGCGAAGGCGAAGTCAAGGAGGAATGTTTTGAGACAACCTGTCAAGTCAGGGGAAGATTGAAGTGGATTCAAGGAGCTTTGCAAGGTTAGATTTCATTTTCTATTTCACTAAGTGAAACACCCACAAATGGGTATATAAGGACTGGGTTCCTTGACTCACTCGCAGAGCTTTGGACCAGCTATCTGCAGCATCTGTACCTGAGGGTAGATTGCATCTCGCTCGCTCTCACTCCTTCTCTGCTGCCTCAGACATGGCTCTTGTGCTCAGACTGATGTTCCTCTGTGCGCTTCTCTGCATCGCTCTCGGTAAGTCTCCCTCATTTCTTCCACACGTGGAATTGTCTCGTTTTAACTCTCGTCTTTGTACTGTGTCTGGGAGCAGGAATTGTGCCACGACTGTGTACTGTCTGTATTTTTGTCGGCAAACACGGCAGCTGTTTTATGCACAGCGACATCCCACAAACAGCCGTGAAGTGAGTGAGGGATTGCATCCGGGGGTTGTTGGCCTGGACACTGGGGGAAGAGAGAGAGAGCGAGAGAAACTTCCTTCTCTTTTCAAATAGCTCCAGCCAGGACTGTGAGCTCAGAGTCTCTGACGTGGGGTTTTACTGCTTATCCAGTACCCAGTTGTGACTTCGAGCCCCACTTTGCTGGGGGGGAATTAGAGCGCTGGATTGTCAGACACGCCGTTCTTCAGATGAGACGTTCAACTGAGTCTGTGCCCTGGTCAGTTGGACTTTAAAGATCCCGCAATGCTGTAGGGAAAAGTGAAGTGAGTTTCTTACTCATGGAGTCCTGGCCTCAAAGCCAGATATACCGAAGGTGAAGAGATAGCTGAGTGCCAAAGGCAATAGGTGGTGTTCCTTATTGTAGTGGTTAGAGCACTCCAGGATTCAATTCCAGGGCAGGACGAAACCTTGGGCAAGTTTCCTCACTCCACACGCCTTTGCTTATCTAGCAGTAAGTAGGAACCCGGTTGTTAATTTATTGGCTGATCCAGGGGTAATAATCCCTTCAAAAAAAACACTGCTGTGTCCAATTGACTGCTGCGTTTCACCCACAAAATACACAGCCAATTCACTTTACAGTATATTCTGCAAAGCACTCTCAACAAGGTGATAAGGCGCTATTAAGTGCAAGGATTATGATTATATAACAGCGCAGAAGATTGTAAGCACCTTCAGGGAGACATAGACAGATTAATTGATTGGGCAGAGAGAAGGCAAATACAATCTAATGCGGGCAAATGTGAGGTTCGACATTTTGGGAGGAAGAATAAGGAGTCTATGTTGGGGTAAAATATTAAAAGGAGACGGAACAGCAGAGGGACTTGGGGGTTAATGGACATAAATCCTTACAGGTGGGAAAGAAAACAGCAGTCAAAAGAGCAACAGAGGGATAGAATACATCAACAACAACAAAATTACATTTGTATAGCACTTTTCACGTCGGGAGGACGTCCCAGAGCACAAAATATACAGCAAGGAGGTAAACTTGTATAAATTATTAGTCAGACCTCAGTTAGGAGATTGTGTCCAGTATTGCAACGTCACTTTAGGAAAGACATCAAGCTGATAGAAAGGGTGTAGAGGAGATTTAATAGGATGATTCCGGGATGAGGGGTTTGGCCTCTGAGCGGAGACGGGAGGAACTGGGAGTTTTTCTGCTGGAACAAAGCAGATTTAGGGGTGACCTGATCGAGGTCTTGAAACGACAAGGCTTTTTTGATAGAGGTAACAGGGAGACATTATTCCCACAGGTCGATGAGTCAGTCATTGGAGGGCATCATAATAATAATAATCCTTGCATTTGATACAGTGCCTTATCACATCGGAAGGACTTCTCAAGACGTTTGATAGGATTTATTGTGAGGTGGAGTGACTGTGTATTTTGTGGGTGATCGCGGCAGCACAATTGCACACAGTAGAGTCCCACAAACAGCCTTGAAACAAGAGACCAATTTTATTCGGGGGATTGTCAACTGGGACACCAGGAGAGAGAATCTCCCTTCAAATGAATAACCGAGCAAATGGGGAGGTTGGGAGAGATTGTTTCACACACAGAGAGCGGTCAGGATATGGCATGAACTGCTGGGAGCAGTGGTTGAAGCAGAATCTATATTCGTTTCAAGGGGGAACTAGACAGATACCTTCAAAAGAGTCAGTGAGACGTGTGGGGAAATAGGACTGAAAGGTTTGCTCTTAAAAGAGCAGCACAGGTACAATGGGCAGAATGGATTTCTTAAATAAAATGCCGCAAATCTCTATGGTTCGTTGTAAAGCGCTTTGAGACGTTTGCATGACGTGATAAGGCATGATATCAAATGCAACGGTGATGATTATTATTCAGATAATTATTGGTTTATTGTTTGATTGGGATCAACTTCCACATGTATGCGGTTGACACCCAAATCTACTTCTCCTCCAGCTGCGACTGCAGGTTTGCTGATGTCCTGTCAGCTTGTCTGTCAGACGTCAAGCCCTGGATGAACACAAACTTTCTGCAGTTGTATGTCGACAAGAAGGAAGCCATACTCCTTGGCTCCCATCAACATTTTCTCTCCTGCGGCTCTGACCTCCTCAACCTCCCTGGCCTTTCCTTAAGACTTATCGAAACTGTTCGTAATCTAGGTGTCAGCTTCGACCCCCAGCTGTCCTCCCTTCCCCACGTCCGGTCCCTGACCAGGTTCACTTTCCTCCACCTCCGTCACATTGCCCGCCTCCGTCTGTACCTCACACCCAACCCACCGAAACCCTCATCCACCCTTTCGTCACCTCCCACCTCAACTACCCCCCAATCCTGCTCACCCGTCTCCCCAGCTCCACTATCTACAAAATCCAACTGATCCCAAACTCGACTGCCCGGAAACTCACCCTCACTAAACTCTGTACTCCCATCACGCCAGCTCTCATCAGGCTCCACTAGCTCCCTATCACCCATACTAAACTCCCTACCCCATCACCTCAATCCTGTGGTTGGAGTCCTGTAGACCATTGGTTAGAGCATTCGCCTCGCAAGCGAGAGGTCCCAGGTTCGATTCCTGGCCAGGGCGAAACACTGAGCAAGTTTCCCTACTCCGCACGCCTCTGTTTAGCGGCAGTAGGTAGGAACCTGGTTGTTAGTTGATTGGTGGATCGCTTTTCTACGGGGTAATAATTCCTTGAAAAAAAATTGGTCGCTCAATCCATGACTGTTTGTGGGACGGTGCTGTGCGCAATTGGCTGTTGCGTTTCGTCCACAAAATATACGGTCACTACACTTTACAATATATCCTGTGAAGCGCTTTGAGACATCTAGAAGGATTATTTTTTAAGAGGGGAAGAGTGAAGTGCAGTGACTGTGAGGCTTAGTAACTGTGAGGTGTAGTGACTGCGAGGTGTAGTGACTGTGCTGTGTGATGGCAGACGGCGCGCTGATTGATTTGCTTGCTCTCTACACAGCCTACACCGAGAATGGTGGAATTATGGACTGCTGCCTGTCCGTCAGCAGGAAGAGAATCCCGGGAAGGATTGTGGCAAACTACCTGCGGCAGGAACCCGCGGACGGCTGCCGGATCCGTGCTGTGGTGTGAGTAAGCTCCGTGACCCTATCGCCCCCACCCTCGTCCGGCTCCATTGGCTCCCTATCCCCCAGAGAATAGAGTTAAAAATCCTCGTCCTCACCTTCAAAGCCCTCCATGGCCTCGTGTTCCTTGCTGCCTCTGTGACCTGTTATCCCCATATCAATCTGTCCGCTCCCTCGGCTCACCAGGCTCCGGCCTGCTCCACGTCCTCTGCCTGCCTATCCCATCCCACCATCGGCGGTCGGGCCTTCAGCCTCTCTATCCCGACCCTTTGGAAGTCCACCCCACATTCCCTTTGCCTCGCTCGCTCTCTGACCTCCTTCAAGGCCTGTTTCTAGACCCTCCTCTTCGACCTTCCTTTTTGATCGGGCTTCTGGTCACCTCCCAACTCCCTCTCTCCCTGGTTTGGGGTCAGACTCCGCCACTGTCAAGCGTTCCGGGGCGCTACCTCACGTGAAGGATGCCATATAAATGCAGATTGTTGTTGTGGTGGGAGTGTAACTGTGGCCAGGGTTAGTGTGATGTGGGGAGGGGGAGCTGTGCTGTGTTTGACAAATGTTTCTTTCTCACTTTTTAGTTTCATCACAGTCAGATCCAGGCGCCTGTGCGCCCCTCCTTACAAGTACTGGGTCAGGGAACTCATCCACATGATAGACCAGAACGCAAAGGCCTCATCATGGTAATAACTCACTCCTTCTCTAACCCTGATCTGGGAGTGTGCACGGACAGTGTAGAGGGACTGTTATCCTGTTGGTGGCTGGGTTTGGGGGTTGGGGCTGGGTTAGGGTTGGGGGATGGGGCTGGAGTTTTGGCTGGGGGTGGGGGAGGGTTTGGTGTTGAGGGTTGGGGGCTGTGGGCTGGGTGTTGAGGCTGGGGGTTGGGTTTGGGGTTGGAGCTGGGGGTCGAGGTTGAGGCTGGGGTTGGGGCTAGGGAAGGGATTGGGTTTGGGGTTGGTAGTTGGGGCTGGGGGCTGGGGATGGGGTTGGGTTGGGCCTGGGGATGGGATTGGAGCTGGTGACTGGGGTTTGGGGCTGTGGTTGGGGCTGGGGTTTGAGGCTTTGGGTGAGGGTGGGGCTGGGGTTGGGGTTGGAGGTTGGAGCTGGGTTTGAGGGTGACGTACTCTGACTCGCTGATCTCTGGCCCTCTACCTTTTTACTCCCAGGTAGAGCTGAGCGGCTGGCGGCTGGTACAGGGAGAGACATTGCTCCCCATCCCCACCCCCACCCCCAGCCTCACCGTCTGCTCCCTGTTTTGTATCACTTCCTTTTATTGCAATCACAGTCAGCGCCTTCCTCTCCCACCCCCACCCATACCCCTATCCTCAACCCCACCCATCCACACACCCCCATCGTCTCCCACACACACGCACACACACACACCAGAACCTACTCTGAGTGAATGGGTGAGTGAGTATAAGAAAGGGTGTGAGAGTGGGAGTGAGTGAGTGAGTGAGTAGGTGAGTGAGTGAAGGATTAAGTGATTAAGTGAGAGACTGAGCGACTGAGTGAGAGAGTGAGCAAAAGAATGAGTGAGTAGACGATTGAGTGAGAGTGTGAGTGAGTGTGTGAGTAAGAGAGTGAGTGAGAGTGTGAGTGAGTGAGAGAGTGAGGGAGTGAGTAGAGTGTGTGAGTGAGAGTGAGTGAGGGAGTAAGAGAGTGAGGGAGGGCTTGAGTGAGAGACTGAGTGAGAGTTTGTGAGTGAGTGAGAGAGTGATGGAGTGATGGAGTGAGAGGCTGAGTGAGAGTTTGCGAGTGAGTGAGAGAGAGTGAGTGCTGCCCTCCTTTCCCGCAGCCTCCGCCACTGTTAATCGCTCTGAGCTGCTGCCCTGCGCGAAGGGCTTTACACAGAAGCAAATGGTTGATGTCCGCGTTCCTGTGCAGTGTTAATGCCATCGCCTACACTCACCGACACAGTCCCTCAGACTCTGTGCTTCGCGGATCTTGAAATGTGCATTAAACCTGATCCGAAATAAATCTATTTTCTTACTGTCGGCCAAGAATGTTTGCACGTGTGTCTGTGTTCCCGCCGGGCAGGGTCGGGTGTCAGGTTATCACAACGACGGGCCCCAGAACATTGGACCCCTGTACACAAGCAAGAGGACCCAGGTTCAATTCCCGGGCAGTGCAAAACTTAGGCAAAGGTATGAAGGGATACGGGGCAAAGGCGGGGAAATGAAGTTGAGGTACAGATCAGCCATGATCTTCTAAAAATGGCGGAACAGGCTTGAGAGGTTGAATGGCCTCCTCCTGTTCCTATGTTTCTAGGTTTCCCGCTTCTTGTCCAGCGAGGACCACCCTATCTGTGGAGTCCTGTAGCTCAGTGGTTAGAGCACTCGCTTTGCAAGTGAGAGACCTGAGTTCAATTCCAGGCAGAGGGCGAAACCTTGGACAAGTTTCCTTACTCCACACAGAGCCTAATAATATTCCCTCCAAAACCCAAAACAATAATAAATTGGTCATTTTCACTCTATAACTGTTTGTGGGACATTGCTGTGAGCCATTGGCTGCCGCGTTAGCCCACAAATATACAGTCAATTCACTTTACAGTGTGTTCTGTGAAGCGCTTTGGGACGTCCTCCCGACGTGAAAAGCTCTATATCAAATGCGAGGATTATTATTATTATTATTATTATCTGTTAGGGCTTTGGCTGCAGGGTTGACAGGAACTGAGGGGGAGGATTCCCCAGTGACTGGTCGGCCCTTCCAGGTCCTGCCGATGAGGCCAGGCCAGGCTGTGCTGTCATCAGTAGTGAGACCCCACGGATACTGTGGACCCTCCTGGCTCAGGAACCGGGTCTAGAGACCGTCACAGAGGGTGGGCTCTATTCCGTTACCAGACATGTCACCTTGGGGCCAGTTCAGCTCCGAGGAGACCCCCCGATTACCTCCCTCTCCCCAGGGAGAATTGTCATTGGTTGCTCGTGGGTTTGAGCCCTCGCTTGGTGGATGGTAGATACCAGGAACTCCCCTTAAGCTTCCTGGTGGGCAACACAGCTCTGCACGAAATGCATGAGAGCACTGCCACCATCTTCCTGTCCACAGCTCAGACACACAGCCCTTCCCATTGAGCGATGGGTCCACCAGTTGGAGGTGCGGAGTTTAAGCAGCAGCTGCTGACCTCTCCGCAGGCCAGTCAGGGTGGATTCCAGGTGCTGACATACGAACACGTGTGTCACTAACTCAGACTTCCATAACACCTTCCAGCAGCCGTCATCACAAGCCTCCGAGCTTCCTCAGCTCTCTGTCAGGCCTCTGTCTTCAGTGCGCTGGGAGGACCTTTACATAATTTGTCCTGATAATAATAATAATCCTCGCCTGATACAGCGCCTTATCATATCTTCGGGACATCTCAAAGCGCTTCACAGAATGTACTGTAAAGTGTAGTGACTGTATATTTTGTGGGCGAAACGCGGCAGCCAATTGCGCACAGCAGCGTCCCCACAAACAGCCGTGGATTAAGTGACCGCATTATTATTATTGTATTAAATTTTTAAAGAGATTATCACCTCAGGGAAAGTGATCCGCCAATCAACTAACAACCTCACTTGCTGCGAGGTACACAGAGGCGTGCGGAAGAAGGAAACTTGCCCAATGTTTCGCGCTGCCCGGGAATCGAACCCAGGCCCTCTCGCTCGCTCTGACCACTAAACTACAACGTGGAGAGTGTTGGCTGTGACTCGGCTTCTGTGGAGACTGTAAAAGCCTTTGGGACTCCGAGTGAACGACAGAGCGAGATCTCATCGAAGATTCCGATCTAATCACAAACCACAAAACCCTGCGTGGACCTCCGCTAATCCGAGGGATTATTTCACAATCTTTATAGATGAATGAGTGCCCGCAGTGAGGGCTCACAGTCCAGCACAGCGCAACCCAGCGCTGGGGAGAGCGAGCTGCGTTATCAGAGACGCCGTCCTTCGGATGAGACGTCAAACCTCACTCCCCGTCTGTGCCCGGTTCAGGTGGACGTTAAAGGTCCCGCGGCTCTGGCTGTCGGGAAAAGAGAGTAACAACAAACAACCGCAACGCATGACATTTACACGGCGGCTTTCACGTCGGGAGGACGTCCCAAGGCGCTGGACAGTCAGGGGTTTGGACCCGAGCTGGGGGTTGGGGTCAGGAGGGGTGGAGGGCAGGGAGGGTGGTGGGGGGGTAGGAGGGCGACCGAAGGCCCGGTTGAGGAGGAGGGTCTTGAGACGGGCGTTGAAGGAGGCCAGGGAGGGAGCGAGGGGGAAGGGACTATGGGATGGAGGTCCGAAGAGTGGGGGCAGAGAGGGGTGGGGTGGCGGACAGGTTGATATGGGGTTAGCCGGTCGCAGAGGTAGGGAGGGGCCAGGCTGCGGAGGGCTTTGAAAGCGAAGGGAGTTTCTCTCTCTCTCTCTCTCTCACTCGGAGTCGTGGCTGACAATTCCTGCATATAGATTGCTGTGTCGGTGGGTGGTGGGGGTGGGGGTGGGGGTGGTGGGGGGGGGTTGGGAGATTGCTGGAGGCGATATGTTTGCACACAAATACCAGTGAGCGGTTAGCAGTGACTGTACAAGGAGAGAGTTTCAGTCAATTAAACAGTGAGAGATTTTCTTATCAGTAAATGTTGGGCTTCCTTGACAACTTGTGGTTGCCTTTACCTCACGCAGTCCCCAACGTCCCCCAACCTCCAGCCTCAAACCCCCAGCGCACCCCTAACTCAGCCCCCGGCCCCCGACTCCCGGCTCGTGTTCAGCCGGATAGTTTGATGTGTCAATGGAATGGTCACAGTTCAAGGTCAACCACACAAATTCCCCTGATGGAGATGGAAATTCCCCAACTCGCACCCCCCCCCCCCCCACCCACCCACCCCTCCCTTCTCCCTGCCTCGTCACAGGCAGGAAGAGAAACTAAACTAAACTAAACCAGTCACAAACAATATCAGTGCCTTGCACTGGCTGGAGTCCCCCCACGGCCACCATTCCCACCCACACCCACCACCCCACAACACCCCCCATACCTCCCCTTCCCAACCCCCTCCCACACCCCTCTATTCCCGTCTCCTACACTCCCCCTATTGATCATTCACTTGATGGCTATTTGCAGTACACTCTTGCGATTGGCTGCTGTGTTTGCCCACAAAGCACAGTCACTACACTTTACGGCGAGTCCTGTGAAGCAACAACAAATATACGCCCACAAGTATACAGTCAATTCACTTCACAGTCCATTCTGCGAAGCGCTTTGAGATGTCGAGAAGATGTGAAAAGCGCAATATCAAATGCAAGGATTATTATTATTATTTAACAACAACAAAATTCCACGTGTAAAGCGCCTTTCATGTCGGGAGGACGTCCCAAGGCGCAGGACAGGCACTTTCGGACCCGAGCTGAGGGTTGGGGTCGGGGACGGTGGAGGGCAGGGGTGGGGGAAGCAGGGAGATCAAAAGCACGGTCAAAGAGGAGGATCTTCTGATGGGTCTTGAAGGAGGCAAGGGAGGGGGCGAGGCAGAGGGACTGCAGGATGGACTTCGAGAGGGTGGAGGCAGAGTAGGGGAAGACCTGCCCACCAATAGTGGGGCGAGCGAGGCGGGGGACGTGAAGCAGGCCGGAGCCCGCTGAGCGGAGGGAGTGAGCAGGATGGTGGGGGGTTAGGAGGTCGCAGAGGCAGTGGGGAGCAAGACTATGGAGGACCTTGAAGGTGAGGACCAGGATCTTGAACTGTATCCTCTGTGTGATGGGAAGCCGGTGGAGTCGGGCGAGAGTGGGGGAGATGGGGTCACGGAGTTTGGTGGGGGAGAGGACACGGGCTGCAGAGTTCTGGATGATCTGCCACTTGTGGAGGGAGGAGTTGGGGAGGCCGACAAGCAAGAAGTTTGCACAGTGAGCCTCGATATTAAAGCGCTTTGGGACGTCCTCCCGACATGAAAAGCGCTCTATCAATGTAATTTTGTTGCTGTTGTTGTCATCGTTGTCGTTGTGTTGTCGTTGTTGTGTTATTGTTGTTGTTGTTCCATAGATTTACTACTCAGTATTTGTTCAATCATATAATTATTTTAAAAAATTAATATTTGTTTTCTAGAGGGGAGTGTTACAGCTCTGCTTCAAAAAGGTACTGATAGACTATTTTCAGATGATCACAATCAAGAGCAGGAGCACAACTGAGGTTTATTTAGCCACAGGCATTACGTCAAGACTGAGGACTGAGGGATTGAACCACAAATTCGAGAAGGAATTATGTCGCTCTCTGCTGAAAAAGTCTGAAATGCTGTACTCTGTCCTTGGGACGTCTTCTTGTTGTTGTTGTTGCTGTATGAAGGCGTGTGTGAGGGTCTCGGGGGCCTGAGGTGTGAGACAGTGGGGGAGTCGGGCCATGTTGCG